GGGGGTACGCCCTCGTGGGTCAACTGTGCCCCCGGCCCCCCCTGACCAATCCCCGGGGTTCTGGCCCCCGAAGCTATGGGCGAGCCACTTCCAGGTGGGGGGGCTGTCAAGGGGGTGGCAGATGGGGTGCTACTTCTTCGGGATGACCCCACTGCCGGCCCCGAAGGGGGAGGCCCCTGGGCCTGATGGTATGCCCAGGGCGTCCAGAAAGCCCACTGGGGTTGCCCCTGCGACTGCTGCTGGACCATCGGATCCCGGTGAGATGATCTGACCGACGAGCGGGACCTATGGCGAGGCCGCGACCTATATGAGGGCCCAGTCGAAACCACTGACTCAGCCTCCAACTCCGAAGAGTACTCTGATGCTGACCAGGGAGGCGCTGATGAAGACTGCACCCTACGTTGGTCTGCCATGGCCGATGGCTTGCCCCTGTGCACCACCCGCGGTGCCGGTGGTGGCATGAGTGGAGGCCTTTGCTGTGGCGGGACCGGGCCTGGGGGCATCTGATAGACCGGGGGGCTGCTGTGCTCCCAAGGAGTAAGCAGGGATCGGTGCCGGGAGCGGCAACAGCGTCGGTGCCGTGCGGGGCGCCTGTTGCGGCACCGCAGGCGGCGCGTAATACGGTGCGGGGCCCTGCACCGACCAGGGAGCCATCTGGGGCACCGGACTCTGCACTGGTGCCGGTGCCGTCGGCGTAGCGAGCCCACACGCTCCCGGAGTCGCTGCCGGTGCCGTGGGGAGCGGGCCCGGGGTCGGTGCCGGTGTTTGTCCCGGCTCCGGTGCCAGTATTCTCCCCGGTACCGGGGGAAACTGCTGCTGCTGGGCCAAGGCCTGCCCGTCGCCCAGAGGGTCCCACGGCCCAGCCCTGTCCTGCTGGGGGGCACTTGAGGCCTGTGCCGGCGCGGTCCGCTTCTGCGGTACCGGGCCCTCCCCTTCATCCACCGCCATGTGGATGAGGTTCCGGGCTGCCTCAAAAGTCTCTGGGGTGGAAGGCTGACGGACCTCTCCTAGCCCCACTGTCTGCCCAGGGCTCTTGCCCTTGTCCGGGCTGTGCCTCTTCCTAGAGGACTTAGAAGAAAGGTGCCCCTCCTTAGGGCGCACCTTCTGGGCACTCCTCTCTAACGAGCGACCCCTCGAGCTCTTGGAGGCCCTCGGCACCAGTGACGGCGATCTGTGTCTCGGTGCCCTGCTGTCCGACGGTGCCACCGTCGGTGCGCTGCGGGCGGAGTGAGGCCGCTCCTTGCCCTGACGCTGCAGTGCCGACTCCATTAGCAGGAGTTTCAGTCGGAAGTCCCTCTCCTTCTTAGTCCTGGGCTTAAAGCTCTTGCAGATAGAGCAGCTTTCAGCTCGATGAGCCTCGCCCAGACACTTAAGGCAGTCAGGATGAGGATCTCCGCAGGGCATAGGCTTGGAGCAGGAGGCACAGGGTTTGAAGCCCTGGGGCCCTGGCATGCCCTCCCCTCGCGGGAGGGTTCCACTGCTCCCTTATCTAAATAACTATTTACAATACTTAACAACTACTTAACTAGATAAGAAACTTCAACTGCGAACTATAATACAACGGATAAGAGATAAGCTGCTAAGAGATAGGCAATAGCCTGAAGCACGCTCCAGCTATCGTCACGGGCGGTAAGAAGGAACTGAGGGGTGGGAGGGCCAGCAGGGGTATATATGCACCGGTATACCGGCGCCACTCCAGGGGGCTCCCTGCTGGCCCTATGGGTACTGCTAAGGGAAAAAAGCTCCGGAATCCGTGCACGCGGCGCGCGTACACCTAATCAGAATGGACATGAGCAAGCACTCGAAGAAGAACCAAGACAGTCTCCTGGGATAAGGTAGTTTTGGTAATTGCGCTTGTGTACCTAGAATTCATGGGATGTGCGGACTGAACCGTAGCAGTGCTCTGATTGGATGCAGAGGGAGCACGTCTCTCACAACGTTGGGCGCAATTAGCACGCACCTCACTTCATGTGCCCTTACTTCATGTGCGTGTCATGTTAGTAATATCGATAAGGAAAAAACTACTTGGCTGAAAACCAGCAGAACCTGGCAACCCTATGCATGGGCAAGAATAAACAAAATGTCTCATAGGCCACACACAAAACCCCAGTGAGCTTCAGGAGTCCCACCACTGATACGAACGGTGCATCATCAGGAACGGCTCCAGCTTCCCAGTTTTGCTGCCAAGTCATCCAACAGATATTTTCCTGCTCTGCGTTCAGGTTGCTACAGTTGCTTTTGCTGTTGCTGCTGCCTCACCCTAGTTTTCAATGCTTGTGCTAGCTGCTATTCCTACATGGTCCCCAGAAGAAACAGACCAGGAGGAAGTGCAAAAACTTGGAGTGACCAAAAAAAAGTGGCTATTTTGTTTTCATTCTAACCATTATTTAGCAGGACGTCTGTAGATCGTATTTTCATCTTGGTTTTCTTTTCCTTACTGTCTTCTCTCAGCTATCATCATCAATAATGATGGAAAACTGGAAACTCATTACCAAAGTTGTAGTGATCTGTGCCGAATCCTCTGCTGGTGCAAACTGGCTGTGATCTATTAAAGTCAACAGAGCAAAACTGATTCATGTCAGCTATGAATCTGCCCCTTCTTTTTGATGGTCTAAAGGGATGTTACCAACAGGATTGTCATCTTTTTTTTAAACGTTTTTTATCCCCATGTTTATCAAAAATTGCAAGTAATGGACTCAAGAATTGAAAATGTTTAGAATGCTGTCCTGCAATTTTATTTTATTTTATTTTATTTTATTTTTTTACTTACATGAAGTCTTTAGTCTGGCCTGCAATCCCAGTGACTTAATTGGAAGAATAAGAAGTTGCAAAATTGACCACAGAGCAAGAAAGAAGAGGGTTCTTTCTACACTTCTTTTTCCCTGTAGCAACAATTCTCATGCAAATCTCATGTACAGAAAAGGAGATATCTATTGACTCTGGGATCTCTCAATCTCACTATGGCTCTAAAATATAGTAATTTCTACAGTCTGCAACATTTTTGTTACTAATATACACCAAAGTACAGATAGGGAATAAATTAGTAAGAGTTCCATGAATAGAATAGGGCCTAATTCTCCCCTTTTAAATCAGTTAGGGGAATACTGCACTGTATAAATCTGGTCGAAGGACAAGGAGACATGTTCACATAATGGAGTAGTGTATGGAGAAGAGTAAATTCTTAATTGATTTGTGCCAGAATACTGGAAAACCCAGGCTAAAATTAGGTATCCATGGTATGTAACTTTATCCAGACTACACAGAACATATGGAATTACCTCAAAAAACAAAAAACAGTGCAACTGTGGGTACTCTGGTATTTTCTTACGTACGTGGTGGGATTGGGCCATTACACAATATCATTTTTTGGTGACAACCAGCCTCACTCATCAACCACATTCAGTCTCCTCGGGATTTAGCCTTTTCTGAGGAGAAGCCCCAGCTGAAGAAAGAGGCCCTAGAAATTTGTCTGTACTCTACATCTAGGCTATATGCCACTTTGCTCACTGCTGTCATTTGATGCTAATACAAACCTAAGAGTCTTTACAAGCCAAACGCGTTAACTGGTTTTCCCTCTTTTTTGTGCTTTAACAGATGCTTGAAAGGATTTTTAATGATGTGTTTGCTTTCGTGGCTGAGGTCTCTATAAACCAATTACTGAATCTTGCTTAGCACTGTGCAAGGCTGGACAGTAACTGGGTTACGTTAACCCCTTTGGGTCTCTATATTGCACCAACATTAATACAACACCCCGGGGAAAACTCAGACATGAAGCAGCCCCCGGATGCTGTTCACTAACCCCAGTGATCATGTGACTTGCCTGAGGGGTGATGCCACACCAGAAATTAGAATAGAGAGAGCGGGACTCCAGCATTGGCGCCACCACAGTCTTGTTCTCCGCTATCAGCAGGTTCAGGGTGTCAGGATTGGTGAGCAAGTTATCTGCATCTACAAACTAGAGAGCAAGACGGGAGAAAGGACTTTATAAGCAATAAAACCTTAAGTCACTGGTCGGAATCCATCCCGGGTTGACAGTAACTGTAAGGTGTGATGGCTACTCAGAGGTGTGAAAGGAGCTGATGGGCTCCGTCGATTTCCCAGTGGACAAGAGCCCAATATAAAAACACCACATCCAGCAGTGGTGCTAATTAGCGGCTTCTATGGGATGAGTGACTGAATTTGTTTCTTTCCCCTACTGGGGGTCAGGAGCCCATGGGGGAGGCTTGCATTGCCAGTGCTCTGGGTGTCATGGGCTATGTGAAGAGACGGCAGCAGTGGCTGCTCAGAGCAGGCACTCCCCACCCATATGGAGTCACAAAAAGACTGTTGATCACTGCTGTACAGTAGCTCAGATCCCACCCGTCTGTGCTAGTCCGCCAAACTTCTTTCCGAGATCACCGGCTGTCACTGATAAAGGCTGGGCTTCACCCAACCGGGTTTGAAAACGGGCACCTATCACCAGCAGGACTGTTCACCGACACACACAGAGTCCCAGCCTAAAACTCAGATCTCTGTGCTTTGGGGCCCATGCTGAGCCCCCCCTGTAGTCAGAGGTGCTCTGCACATGGATCAAATTGCAACTGAAGCCTCACGTACCCTGCCCGTTCCTGATCACTCCAGGGGGCTCCCTGCTGGCCCTATGGGTACTGCTAAGGGAAAAAAGCTCCGGAATCCGTGCACGCGGCGCGCGTACACCTAATCAGAATGGACATGAGCAAGCACTCGAAGAAGAACCAAGACAGTCTCCTGGGATAAGGTAGTTTTGGTAATTGCGCTTGTGTACCTAGAATTCATGGGATGTGCGGACTGAACCGTAGCAGTGCTCTGATTGGATGCAGAGGGAGCACGTCTCTCACAACGTTGGGCGCAATTAGCACGCACCTCACTTCATGTGCCCTTACTTCATGTGCGTGTCATGTTAGTAATATCGATAAGGAAAAAACTACTTGGCTGAAAACCAGCAGAACCTGGCAACCCTATGCATGGGCAAGAATAAACAAAATGTCTCATAGGCCACACACAAAACCCCAGTGAGCTTCAGGAGTCCCACCATTGATATGAACGGTGCATCATCAGGAACGGCTCCAGCTTCCCAGTTTTGCTGCCAAGTCATCCAACAGATATTTTCCTGCTCTGCGTTCAGGTTGCTACAGTTGCTTTTGCTGTTGCTGCTGCCTCACCCTAGTTTTCAATGCTTGTGCTAGCTGCTATTCCTACATGGTCCCCAGAAGAAACGGCCCAGGAGGAAGTGCAAAAACTTGAAGTGACCAAAAAAAAGTGGCTATTTTGTTTTCATTCTAACCATTATTTAGCAGGACGTCTGTAGATCGTATTTTCATCTTGGTTTTCTTTTCCTTACTGTCTTCTCTCAGCTATCATCATCAATAATGATGGAAAACTGGAAACTCATTACCAAAGTTGTAGTGATCTGTGCCGAATCCTCTGCTGGTGCAAACTGGCTGTGATCTATTAAAGTCAACAGAGCAAAACTGATTCATGTCAGCTATGAATCTGCCCCTTCTTTTTGAAGGTCTAAAGGGATGTTACCAACAGGATTGTCATCTTTTTTTAAAACGTTTTTTATCCCCATGTTTATCAAAAATTGCGAGTAACGGACTCAAGAATTGAAAATGTTTAGAATGCTGTCCTGGAATTTTATTTTATTTTATTTTTTTACTTACATGAAGTCTTTAGTCTGGCCTGCAATCCCAGTGACTTAACTGGAAGAATAAGAAGTTGCAAAATTGACCACAGAGCAAGAAAGAAGAGGGTTCTTTCTACACTTCTTTTTCCCTGTAGCAACAATTCTCATGCAAATCTCATGTACAGAAAAGGAGATATCTATTGACTCTGGGATCTCTCAATCTCACTATGGCTCTAAAATATAGTAATTTCTACAGTCTGCCACATTTTTGTTACTAATATACACCAAAGTACAGATAGGGAATAAATTAGTAAGAGTTCCATGAATAGAATAGGGCCTAATTCTCCCCTTTTAAATCAGTTAGGGGAATACTGCACTGTATAAATCTGGTCGAAGGACAAGGAGACATGTTCACATAATGGAGTAGTGTATGGAGAAGAGTAAATTCTTAATTGATTTGTGCCAGAATACTGGAAAACCCAGGCTAAAATTAGGTATCCATGGTATGTAACTTTATCCAGACTACACAGAACATATGGAATTACCTCAAAAAACAAAAAACAGTGCAACTGTGGGTACTCTGGTATTTTCTTACGTACGTGGTGGGATTGGGCCATTACACAATATCATTTTTTGGTGACAACCAGCCTCACTCATCAACCACATTCAGTCTCCTCGGGATTTAGCCTTTTCTGAGGAGAAGCCCCAGCTGAAGAAAGAGGCCCTCGAAATTTGTCTATACTCTACATCTAGGCTATATGCCACTTTGCTCACTGCTGTCATTTGATGCTAATACAAACCTAAGAGTCTTTACAAGCCAAACGCGTTAACTGGTTTTCCCTCTTTTTTGTGCTTTAACAGATGCTTGAAAGGATTTTTAATGATGTGTTTGCTTTCGTGGCTGAGGTCTCTATAAACCAATTACTGAATCTTGCTTAGCACTGTGCAAGGCTGGACAGTAACTGGGTTACGTTAACCCCTTTGGGTCTCTATATTGCACCAACATTAATACAACACCCCGGGGAAAACTCAGACATGAAGCAGCCCCCGGATGCTGTTCACTAACCCCAGTGATCATGTGACTTGCCTGAGGGGTGATGCCACACCAGAAATTAGAATAGAGAGAGCGGGACTCCAGCATTGGCGCCACCACAGTCTTGTTCTCCGCTATCAGCAGGTTCAGGGTGTCGGGATTGGTGAGCAAGTTATCTGCATCTAAAAACTAGAGAGCAAGACGGGAGAAAGGACTTTATAAGCAATAAAACCTTAAGTCACTGGTCGGAATCCATCCCGGGTTGACAGTAACTGTAAGGTGTGATGGCTACTCAGAGGTGTGAAAGGAGCTGATGGGCTCCGTCGATTTCCCAGTGGACAAGAGCCCAATATAAAAACACCACATCCAGCAGTGGTGCTAATTAGCGGCTTCTATGGGATGAGTGACTGAATTTGTTTCTTTCCCCTACTGGGGGTCAGGAGCCCATGGGGGAGGCTTGCATTGCCAGTGCTCTGGGTGTCATGGGCTATGTGAAGAGACGGCAGCAGTGGCTGCTCAGAGCAGGCACTCCCCACCCATATGGAGTCACAAAAAGACTGTTGATCACTGCTGTACAGTAGCTCAGATCCCACCCGTCTGTGCTAGTCCGCCAAACTTCTTTCCGAGATCACCGGCTGTCACTGATAAAGGCTGGGCTTCACCCAACCGGGTTTGAAAACGGGCACCTATCACCAGCAGGACTGTTCACCGACACACACAGAGTCCCAGCCTAAAACTCAGATCTCTGTGCTTTGGGGCCCATGCTGAGCCCCCCCTGTAGTCAGAGGTGCTCTGCACATTAATCAAATTGCAACTGAAGCCTCACGTACCCTGCCCGTTCCTGATCAGATCACAGGTGTTTCTCAAGCCTAAGTCAGAGCAAACAAAGAGCTCTTCTCTGGGAAGGGAGGAACTTTTGGTAGCCATTTGGGGGATTGATCAGAGCCCTAAGCTCGTTTGTTTCCGCCCACTTCCCTTCTCGGAGCCTGACTGCAGCACAGCCACCTACAAATGTTCTGCCCGACTTCAGTAAATAAACCAAACCTCTCTTTTACCAGGATGTAGTCAGACCACTTCTCTCTTGCAGTTCGCAGGGCTGCCTGCCTGAGTTTCATCACGTGGGTAAACCTGAAGCTCGACCAGTGTTTTGGCCCAATTTCATCAGGGTAAGACCTATGAAAGAAAAACAGTTACTGCCTCTTGGCTCTGTCCATGCTGCAGTGCTCCAGGTCATTACATTTCCCTTCTGACTTCACATAACAGGAAAACAGACGGTCACCTCGGCCGACCCAGGTGGTAGGAGAGCAGAAATAAAAAGGCAGGCTCTGAGGAAAAGCAATTCCAAATTTATTCCAGGAGTTTGTACACTAGGTGCTACAGAACACAGCGTGCTACAGTACTTCCTGCCTAACCAGTGGCCATGGTGAAAAAGAGACAAAATCAAAAACAGCTTCTCGTTCAGCAACTCGGATTCTTGGCTGGTATAAGCCAGTGTCGCTCCACTGAAGTCGGTGGAATGATGTTGATTTATGCCAGCTGAGGATCTGCCTTCATACATCGACTCCCCACTAGATCTTAAGAGTCACATCTGTTCGCATTACTCTCTTTACCCATCAGAGCCAACACAGCTCATGGAACTCAATCTGAATTCTTTTATTGTTAACTAAGGCCCCAGCTGGACAAACGAACACTCATTGGGACAAGCCAATAACAAGTGAAGTTATGCACGTGCTTTATTGTTTGGCAGCTTGGAGTTCGTGTTTTAAGAACAGAATCTTCATTACTGAGGAGGATGTGGGAGAGAGTAAAAAACTCAGAGCCAGATCCTTAGGGGATATAAGCAGATGGGACTCCACTGACCTCTGCGGAGTGTGCCAATTTACAACAGCTGACAAGCAGGTGCCAAGAAAACTCAGAACTGGTAAAAAACAACCTTTTTTAAAAAACCCACCATACCTAAATGAGGAAGTTTCCAAGATTAAAATAAAAAAATCCAGTGGAAAGGGGATTGCTACTGAAAATAAAACAAACATTCCCCTGCAGGATTTGTAAGACAAACTCCAGAGCACTACGCTGGTGCAAGACGCTGAATGCAAAAGTGCCAGCATGCAAACGTGAATTCACTGTCCTTGCTCAGCACGGGAGGAAGACAACAAAGTATAAAACACATTAAGAATAGTGGAAATTAAATTACGTTCTTAAAAATCTTCTGACTCATAATTTTTTGTTCTTTAATATGGGTGTTAAAGAAGGTAGGACAAAAATAAAGGCAAGTAGTAATGGGTTTAATCGGCAGCAAGGTTAGACATCAGGAAAAACTTTGTAATGGTAGTTCGGCTCTGGCATGGGCTTTCACAGGAGGGTCTAGAATCCCCACCATTAGAAAGTTTGCAGAGCAGGTTGGACAAACACCGGCCAGGGATGATCTAGGTTTACTTGGTCCTGCCTCAGTACCTCTCAAGGTCCCTTCCTGCCTCACATTCTTATGATCTTCTTTAAACTCAACAGAGTCTCTTTAAGTAAATGATAGTTTCCCTCAACATTCCCTTCCTGGGGCTTGCACTAATTTGCTGGATGGAAAATTGCTGAATATTTAAAGCTTGAAAGAGAATTTTGACAAGGACTGGGAATTGGAGCAGGATTCCCTCAGGGTCCTGGAAAATAAGGAACCAACCTGAAATTCGTTGTACCTTCCAGGGAGAATTTTTGGGTGTCTGAGAAGCAGGCTCAGATGCTACGTGGCTGAACAGGACTGCTTTCTGCTGACAGCTCCCCACCAGGCCACGTCCTAAACTTTAAACACGGGAGCAGTCCCATGGAAGTTAAAGACTTGCTTAAATGCTTCCCTGACACAGGGCCTTAAAGAACCAAAGTGTAAGTGCTTAAATGCCACAGGGCCTTAAAGAACCAAAGTGTAAATCCTGCAACAATCTTTTCAGTCATTTAACGCACCATATCTCTGTTACATCCTTTGGCTTAAAGATTAACACAGTCTATAATCTTGACACTGAAACCCCCACACATCTTAAGAAATCACTGGCTACGATACTCACTGAGGCTCCTCCATAGGCCGCCACTCCACATAGTGATACAGTTTTTGCACATTCTTCAGCCACTCTCGGAGGATCTCCGTGGTGTTATCAATGTTGTGGTCAGTGGCTGCCCTGGAGACGTAAGGGCACAAAGAATCCCATTAATGGAGCATCTAAACAGCAAGCAGAGGCTGGGCCAAATTTTAGCCCACCAAAGACAGGCCCCCAAAAGAGCAGGCATACGCTGTGTATAAAGAGCAGAGTGCACCTGTATGCTGGCTGGCAGCCCTGTAACTTTCCTACTGCCCTAGCACAGGACAGACTAGGCCTGCCAGGAGCTCAGCTAACCTGCACTGGGAGGGAGGGTAAAGTTCCAAACCCTGGCAAGAAACAGACACACAAGTCTGTGCAACCCCTGCTTAGGAATCCCCTCAGAAGTTTGTGTGCAGCACCTGTCAGGGATGTCTGCACCTCGCTGGCCTGGGCTAAGGAGCTTGGACTAAAGAGCTATTTACGTTAGGGCTAGGAACCTGCAAGGTGGAAGGGTCCCAAAGCTCAGGTTGCAGCCCAAACCCAAATGTCTACACCACAATAAAACAGCTCCTCAGCCCGAGCTCGGTGAGTCAGAAGGTGTCTAACTGCAGACCCTGAGAGACCCTCCAGAGCTACTTGCCCAGGGGGCTAGGGAGAGTTAGGTGGGAGACAGACCACTTCCAGCCCAACAGGTACAGAAGCACAGCACCCAGGCAGAGTCTGGTCCTGAGGAGGACTGGCAGGAGACAGGGGTGCTAGTACAATGTATACAGTGTGTGTGTGGGGGGGTAGGTTTGAGAGCCACTCAATCCAACTGTAAAGCCTGTATGTGATGGGAACCACTTCAAGCCAGGGGCTGTGGCAGCCCCTCCTCCTCTCCCCCCCCCCCCCCCCCCCCCTAGTTCCCCCCCACAAACACAACAAGTTCAGCTCCTTAGTGTAATAAAATGTCAATGTAACGCCACACACTGAGCCGCACTGGCAGGTTCCTGCTCCTACATGGAGTCCATGTAATTGACGTGGCTCCGCGGGGAAGCAAGAGTCCAGTTGTGTGGATTTCACTGGGCTGAGTTTCACGGGACACACAGTAGCCAGCTCAGGAACGTGAGCATGTGAACTGCTCTGTTATGGATCTGATCCTGGCCCGGAAGAGTTCATTGTAGCTTTTCCATTCACTAGCATGATGCAGGACTGGGCCTCTCTGCTCTCTGAAGAGATCTGACACAAGATCAATGTTCTCCCTCGCCTGCGGTCTGACAGGTGAAATGGAAGGGAAGCTGGTGGAATCTCTTTTGGACCAGCAGAGAGGGCACTAGAGGGAAGCCTCTATAGCTGGGGCATATGCTGTACCTATTCTATAGGCTATGGCAGCAGTTCCCAACCTGTGGTCCGCGGACCATGGTACTGTAGGGGGTCTGAGGAAAGTTTAAAATAGAAATTAAAATAAATGTACAGAGCCTCTCGCAGCCAGCACGTCCTTCAGCTGCAGGAATAACCCAGGTTGAAGGACATGCTGGCGAGGAGCCTGCCGGCAGCCAGCAAGTCCCTTAGCCCGCACTGCTTCCCGAGAGGGCTGAGGGACACGGCTCAGGAAGCAGCACAGGCTGAGGGACATGGAGGCTGCAGGCACAGCTATATTGTTTGGGGCGGAGGCCATAAAATGTTAATAGACTGAAAAGGGGTCTGCATGCTGGAAAAGGTTGGGAGCCACTGGGCGAGGGCTAACACCTGTTCCCACGGGAGTTTAGCCACTGACTTCACTGAGACAAGAATTTCAGTCTCCAGAACTGTCTGTCCAGTGGCATTTGTAAGCCATAAATTCTCAAACACAACACAGTTAGGCATTCCTTGGATCGCACATGCTCGGAGATGAGCAATTTGACTCACCTTCACTTTTTCCTGTTTAGACCTTCAAAAATAGGCCATTCCCAACTTTTTGTTTGTTATTGTTCTTACAACGGTTTACACTTAACCCCGTTCAAAGGCAGCATTCACCCACTGTTTCCACACTGGGATATCTTAGCACAGCAGCATGCATCTGTCCTTGGGCTAAGAAGGGACTGTGGCATCTCCAATACTGCTCTTTGGAAACGTGGGGAAATCTTGACTATTTTATGACAACCACAGCATAAACAAACCATCTACTGGCAGCCATGTGCCCTGAATTATGAAAGGAGTGTCAGGATTTCCCTTATAACCTCTGCTTTTCTATAATCACATGGACTTCTGCCACAGTCACCTTTCAGGGGAGAATGGGACATCCAGTAAGTTGCAGATTGGCAATAGATCCAGCGCCTTTTAACTTAAGCTCTCAGATCCTAATTTAGAGGTTGTTTATTTTCCATGGCATTAGGAAAGGAGTCTGATGGTCTCAGTCTAAATCCAAGAGGACAGAGTGTCCACATCACAAAAACACTGCCATTTGCTCCTTAATTGGCTATCTACGGTGGTGCTCTGAATGGGCTACACTCTGCCCTACAGAAATGGTTCCCAATGGAAGCACGTTGAGGCACACGGACAGGGCAATGGGTGGACAGCATATGCTCTTCTTGGTCTGTCTGAACAAACCTGGATTAATTTACTTTAATGCTCTGCGGTCGTACGGGGATAAATCCAAGTAATAGAGGGCTGATTATGAGAATACCATAGTACAGAAGCCTTCATTGTGCTCAAACTATCAACATTTTAAAAACTAATCCTGAAAGGCAACTCCATGCTAAAAAAGCCTCTTTGGAAAACTGACACTGAGTAAATGGCTTCATTTTTAAAAATAGCATTTGCTTGGGCAAACTGGTGTTGCCCCTGATTCCAGCTTTTAATGGTGTTTCATTAATGACTTAAAAGTTCAAAATTTCACACCCACTGTCTACAGCACACAATCCTCATTCAAGTTCAGTAGCGACCAACCATAAGGTTATATTAAGAATGGTGGTTAGACTCCCCCTCCTGATGTAAAGTAGTAAAAACAAAATCAAACTGTACAGGTATCTACAGACCCTAAATCAGAGGCACCCAGATACTGCCCAAGCACAGGATTAAAACAAGTTTCCAAAAATTCCACCAAATTTACATCCCATGGAGCAAATGGCAAGAGCCCCCAACTCCATGGTTAATATGGCCATGCTGGAATGGAGCTATTGTTCCCAGCATGCAATGTCTCATCCTGATCCAATTGCTCAGGCTAAGCGGCTCCATTAGTGATGGAGCACTGCATGCTGGGACCTGTAGTCTGCACATCTTGCATTGCTGTATGAAAGAAGAGTGGCCTAGGCCCATGCTGATGAACTTACTGGGCCATGTTAGCCACCCCTATCCTTTGATTTACTTAAATTGCCATAGAATTAGCAGGGCTCAACAAACTGGCTCTCCCACTTGCCCGTGGCGAGCAGATTTTGGCAGCTGGTGAGCTGTGACAGGACGGAGCTGCCCTGTGGCGGGAAGGGCGACTGGCACTTAGCGGCTCCACTCTGGGCTGCTTCCTACCTCCACTTCTCCTTTCACGTCCTTGTCTGAGACAGGACAACAAAAATGGCTGCCCTTCGCAGGTGAGCCATAGCCTGTTACACCTGAAAAGGCTGGTATAGGGGGCTCTGTCTGTGAGGCAGAATGCTTTCCATATAAGGGAATGCAGAATAATTATCTCCCCCTGCTCGCTCCACCCACTGCAGTAAAAAAATCAGCCAATGGGCTGACTCGTGGTCAGGCCTGCTACTCCACCCACTGCGGCAAAGATCAGCCAATGAGGTGTTAAGTGACCAGGCAATAAAACAGGCAGCCGAACCCCCTCTGAGTGGGGAATCGCATCGTGTGAACGCCTGGCCTGATCACCCAGACGCCTTGCCCCCCCCGCTCTCGAGTCTTACTAAGCGTACTCCGAGTTGGTCGACCCGCGTGGAGACAGTTTATGAGCATGTGGCTGGTACTTGTGTTCCTGCTGTCTCCAGAACTGGTATAACATCCTCCCCTGACATTATCCCCATCCTGATTAATTTCAGTACCCTTGTTGCCTGTTAAGTGACAGTGGGTTAAAGAGTCGTTGTGTTAGTTTACGAATAGTGGTTGTTAAGGTTTTTGACTGTTCTCTTGTATAAAATAGTGTAAGTAGTTAACTTTATGAACAATGTCAGTATTAATTCAACTGTTCCGAACCCCTGGGCAATTATTGAGAATTATCGTGACTTAGAAAAGCCCCAGGGAATTGTCTTATTTTGTCTGGTAATTTGCTTCTTTTTTGTTCTGATGATTGTTTGGCGCCTGCGTATGTGACTGAGTTCTGAGTCACTAGATGTCGGAGTCATTAAAATAAAATCAGTTTCCCTTTTTGTAACCCCAAGTTGTGGTCTCATTCTTTCCGGCATCCCTTTCGAACTTCGCGTATTGCGGGGACCGACAGTCCTCTGCCCCCCTCTGCTCTCTGCTCCACTCCCCGTCTCCCTCCTGCCTTCTCTGACATCCTCCGTCTCCCGTTCCTCTCCTCCACTCTCACCCTTCATTCCTCCGCCCACCGCCGTCTTCTAGCTCACTCCTCTGTTCTCCCCTCTGCCCTGTCGCCTCCCTCCTCTCTTCTGCTCTCCTCTGCTCCCCTTTTGAATGCGGCACTCTCTTCCGCCGGCACCTCCCCCTCCCACCCCCGACGTCAGGGACGCACGCACACTCTGGCCCCACCCTAAGCCCACATGCGGCCCCACCTCCCACTGTCCCAGGACTCGGCCCCCCACTGCACGCCGCTCGGCAGGGCAACCACATGGGAGCAAGCAGCGCAGACCACTGTCAGAACACCACGCTCCCATGCAGCACAGGGGTCGGTGCCGCTGAAGTGCAGGGTGGGTCATCTTCGCCACTGCGGAGCAGCCCTGCCCCATCACAGAAGCAAACATGCCGTCCTGGTCATCCCATTCTCCAGGTGGCGCGCACCTGAGTGGTGGGAGTCACACAGTGGGGGTGGCAAGTCCCTTTTTTGTCTGGCAAGTAGGGTTTTCTATAATTTGTTGAGCCCTGATAATTAGCATATGCCATACTGCCAGCCCCAGATTTGAGCCCTCCAAAATCATGAGCTTGGCTGATGAGTCATGAGATGCTTAAAAAAAATAAGGAAGTTGTTCTTGTTTCTCAGCCTCCAGGGGGCACTCTGATTTTCTCTACAACTGTGACGGCTAAAAATGTTCATTTAAAAAGACAGTAATTTGAGTATGACGATAAGCACCACTCATTCATACCTTACAAACTCCTGAACAATCTTTCTACAAAATATGCCTGAAACTAACAACTCGCTGATCATTAATATTCTTGGCTGACGTATAGACACAGCATGTATTAAGAGTTATGGCAATATACTGAAATTATTAATAAAGTGTGTATAAACCAAGCATGTCAAGGAGAGTTATCTGCCCTAGACAATTGAATGTGCATTTGATTCCCTGACCATCCTGGTCTTCAGGCAATGAAAGTCCATTTTTACCTATTAGGTAAACAGAGCTCATAGCCAACAAATTAGTGAAGAAAGGACTTGGCACATCCTTGACCACCAGACTCCACGTTACCTTCCTCACAGCTGAATACATTTTACTTTGAGGGGAAATCATCAGAAAAATCAATTTTAAAAGTTTTACTGGTCTATAAAGATGGGGGTTCTGGTTCTGAAATGATAAGCAATTGAACCAACTAGTTGCATACAATCGGTTATATTTAAAAAGTATAGTAGTAGACTATAGAGTGAGGTCTTTTCAGAAATCCTATGACACACGGGTAGTTAATATCACTGTGAAATGTAGGTATTAACACTATATGAGGAAATATGGATTAAGTTTCTAGTCTGCAACCAACCAAGAGGAGAAACAGGATTTCCCTCAGACTGGAGGGAAGTCTCTAGTGAAATTAAGCAAGGAGTAACCAGAAAGAATGGAAACTCCATTTACACAGAAATCAGAGGTGGGATGGAACGCCCCACAAAGACAAAAACAGTAGGAGGTCATCCTGCCTCTTGAAACAAGTTTGTTCAACTCAGAAGCCATCTTTGGCATCCATCACTAGACAGACAAAGGAACAGAGCTCTTGCTAGCTGAGAATGATTAGTCCTGCAACCAAGAAGAAAGGAAGGCTGATGCCTCCAGAAACTGAATATAGGTGAGAAAGTATCTTGAATAAAGCCTGTACTTTGCCAAATTACGTTTTAGATTTTTAGATTTCTCTTTTCACTTTTATTTGCTTGTAATGCCTTCTAACTTTATTCCTTTTACCTGGCATCATTCCACCTATCTCCTATTTTTAATAAATTCATTTCATATTCACTATAAATAATCTCAATTCTGTGTTTAACTGGAAGGGGTTATTTACTTCAGTTAGATTGTTAAACTGTGATATGCTTTTGTCTCTTTAGAGCCTTATTCTTTCTCTGAGCTTTCTAGGAGAGGGCTAGACATGGCAGAGCATGTGGTTGGGGGGAATGCAGGCCTGGGAGTATGTTGAGGTCCCTGTGCTGGTTGTAACCAAGGCTAATGGAAGGCCAAGTGGGGCTGTGGAGCCGTAGAGAGGCAGGTGTCTAGCACATGGACTCTTTGCAGTGTGACCTGCATGCTCATAGGTTGTGCCAGACTGGCAACACGAGAGCAACAAAATATTGTAAGACCCCCAGGTTGCAGGGCAAGCGGTGACAACCCCATACTGGTCTGGACTGTTCCCCAAACCATAACACTAACAGTATGGCTAGACTACATCTTTTTTTCGGAAAAAGCTACACAAAATGCGCTCCGCATTTTGCGTAGCTTTTTCCGATTCTTTTGTCAGAAGAGGCTTTTCTGATATTTGGCCCATCTAGACTGGGCCAAATGTTGGGGGGGAAAACCCCTTTTGGAAGCCTGTTTATGTAACCCACACACCTACTGGAAAGAGGAATACAAGGGCTTCCGAAAGAGCGTGTTTGCTCTTCTGCAAAAAAAAGTGGAGGAGCAAACGCATTCCCTAGACATGGAACAGTTCTTCCGGGACTGTGTAGTCTAGCCGTACCCTAAAATTCTCCCACCATAAATGTCTCCACGAGCTGGGGCTTGAAATAAAGCATGAAATACTGGGAGATGTGATCATGGGTCTCATGAGAATGGGTAACAGTGCAGAGCAAAGGGGAAAACCCTTTACTATCATCTTCCTCTTTCCTAAGGATCCCACTGACATCAAAGGGATTGGCTCAGCCCTCAAGGATTTAGTAGTAACAAGCCCAATGAGGCTTATTGAAGTCAGTGGCAAAACTCCCACAAGTGTTGGTACCACAGGAATAGGTCTGGTCAGGCACCTGACGGACAACTCCCTCCATTCCAGCAGCATGCTCCACTTGTGCTTGTCAGTAAGGGTAGAAGCTTTAACACAGCGAGTGCCCTTTCCCTTAATTCAGGTCATTCAACCTTGCACCGAGAGATTTTAAAGCCCAAACCTGGGTTTGGTTCACAGAAAGGTTCAGTGAATAGGGTTGCCAGATGGTTGAAACAAAAATACTGAACACCCCCTCCCCCCCCAAAAAAACCTCCCTCCCTTCCAAAAAACCCCTAAGTACAACACATAGCGAAAATAAGCACGCCATTTAAATCAGTCACAGATTTAATTAATGTATTACTGACAGAGGTAAAGAAAATTTCTGTTATGTAAATTGCACAGTATTTTTAGCCTAATGTCTGTTTAAACGTAGTTGTTTGTGTGTGCACGTATGTGTGTGTATTAATTTAAATTCTGGCAATTCTGCCCTTCCCCTGCACAAAAATGAGGTTACAAAAAGTTCCACCAGCTTTTCACTCCCTTAGCAGCCTATTTTGAATACCCAAATTGTTTACAGTTTATTTACCTTAAGTGTGGTGTTGGAGGAGGACAGGACAATATTTTGCTGTTTTTCACCAATGCAGAAAAGGAAACCCCCGCAGAAGGAACACCGTGTGCCTTTTAGCCTCCCAGTTTCCATGCACCACTGTAACACATGCAGTGGAAAAATCTAGTACAAATGGCCTGCAGTAGTTTTCCTACGGCATTTAATATTCCCTAACTCTTCACCTGGATAGAGCAGAAGGAAGAGCTTTTACTGATGGTGTAGGCTGTAATTTTAAAATATACAGAAAAGCAGAGTAACCACTCTAGCCAATTGATTTTCCAAAACAGAATAAGTGCAGATCCTCTTTCTTTACATGAATGCTTAAAAGGTCCTTAGTTAGCCCTTTTACAATAAAGATCAAACAGTGGAACAGTTAACCAAGGGTCTGGTTAACTTTGCAGGAGCACAAGTTAAATCAACTGGCATTTTACTATTCATTGCAAGACCACTAGGGCTGAGACCTTAGAACTGTATCCAAAGTCCATTATAGCCAACAAAAAGCCTCCACTTAATTCTATGGAGTTGACATCAGACCCATAATGAGACGCTAACAACAATCATGCCATCGATAGAAAGGCTTCACTCGACCATCTTTTCATGGTGACGGGATTCCTAACACAGTGAATGCTAGTGGAAATGGGGTAGGTTTAGAAGTTAAAATAAAAAAAAGGAACAAGTCAAAAATTACTGAGAAAAGTTAGACGTCTGCAAGTCAAAAGGGCCTGATGAAACGCATCCTAGAATACTCAAGGAGCTGATACTGGAGGTGACTTCAAAAAGTCATGGAAGTTGGAAGAGATTCCAGAAGACTAGAAAAGGGCAATATAGTGCTCATCCATAAAAAGGGAAATAAGAACAACCCAAGAAACTACAGACCAGTCATCTTAACTTCTGTGCCAGGGAAGATAATGGAGCAAGTAATTAAGAAATTCATCTGCAAACATCTGGAATATAATAAGGTGATAAGTCACAGCCTGCATGCATTTGTAAAGAACAAATCATGTCAACCCAATCTGATAACTTTCTCTGATAGGATAAACAAGTCTTGTGGATAAGGGAGAAGCAGTGGGTGTAGCATACCTAGGCTTTAGCAAAGCATTTGATACAGTCTCGCATCACATTATTATCATCAATAAACTAGGGAAATACAACCTAGATGGGGCTACTATAAGGTGGGTGCATAACTGGCTGGATAACCGTTCTCAGAGAGCAGTTATAATGGTTCACAGTCATGCTGGAAGGGCATAACCAGTGGAGTTCCACAGGGGGGCTGTTTTGGGACCAGTTCTGTTCAATATCTTCATCAACGATTTAGAGGAGGGCATAGAGAGTATGCAGGCCTGGCCAAAGAGTGTGTGGGCCCAAGACAGCATGCTGAGCCACACGGCCCCGCAGATCCTGGCCGGATTGGCAGGGCCAGGAGCTGGGCAGCATGGGACTCTGAATGTATGGGGCCCAAGGCGACCACCTCGCTTGCCTTGCCCAAAGGCCGGGCCTGAGAATACACTCATTAAGTTTACAGATAATACCAAGCTGGGAGGGTTTCCAAGTGCTTTGGAGGATAGGGTCATAATTCAAAATGATCTGGACAAACTGGAGAAATGGTCTGAGGTAAACAGGATGAAGTCTAATAAGGACAAATGCAAAGTGCTCCACTTAGGAAGGAACAATCAGTTCCACACATACAGAATGGGAAGTGACTGTCTAGGAAGGAGTACGGCAGAACGGGATCTAGGGGTCATAGTAGACCACAAGCTAAACATGAGTCAACAGCGTGACACTATTGCAAAAAAAGTAAACATGATTCTGGGATGTATTAGCAGGAGTGTTGTGAGCAAGACACGAGAAGTCATTCTTCCACTCTACTCTGCGCTAGTTAGACCTCGGAGTATTGTGTCCAGTTCTGGGCACCGCATTTCAAGAAGGATGTGGAGAAATTGGAGAGGGTCCAGAGAAGAGCAACAAGAATGATTAAAAGTCTAGAGAACATGACCTATGAAGGAAGGCTGAAAAAAATTGTTCCCCTTGGCCTCTGATGGTAAGACAAGAAGCAATGGGCTTAAACTGCAACAAGGGAAGTTTAGGTTGGACATTAGGAAAAACTTCCTAACTGTCAGGACGGTTACACTGGAATAAATTGCCTAGGGAAGTTATGGAATCTCCATCTCTGGAGCTTTTTCAGAGCAAGTTAAACAGACATCTATCAAAGATAATCTAGAAGGTGCTTGGCCCTGCTATGAGGGCAGGGGACTAGACTTGACAATCTCTTAAGGTCCCTTCTAGTTCTAGTATTCTGTGATTCTAATGCCCTAACAGAGTGAGCCAGGGATGAAGTGTTCATGGCACGGTTAGCTGTTGAATATATATAGAGTCCTTCTTGTTTGCAGCAGGGCACTCAGCAAGGCTCCCTTTTGAAATCTCTCTCTATATTAATGGTTTTCAACCTGTGGCCCAGTCAGCACAGAGCTGCAGCCCATGTGACATCCTCAGGGCCATACAGATAGTATTGGATGTGGCCCACATAAGACACTGTGGCCCCCATAAGCAGCCTCCGATGTCAAACAGGATGAGAACCACTGCTCTCCATTCTCTGATCTAATCAAGAGAAAACTCTGAGGCAAATAGTTAAATTCACTCGCCCAAATTAGCCAACAAATGTCATGCACAACTCCCTTGTCTTTACATATTGTGTATGTGACTGAAGAAATGTCCTACAACACACACAAAACAGGTAATTCCAGGAGCAAAGGGATATATCGATGTCCAGTCACCTAAACTGCTTCTGGAGTTGAGCATGCAATTTTCCCTCCATTCACTGGGGGTGCAGATTTGTGTAAGCCACTTGGCACAAGTGTGCATAGAAAGCATACGGGACAAAACCTGCCACTCCCGAATGGGTGCAAAATACCTTCCAGCAGCAGAATCGATGTAACAGAGGGCAGCAGTTGAAGTGGTATAGGGGGCCTATAGCATCTCCATGGGATGGAGTCCACCATGGTAGAGACTCTGCGATTCTGGAGGAAGGGGAAGGATTTTATAAAGCTTGACAGCAACAGAAATGTTAAATGAGTCTATTCAAGCCAACTGTTAAACCAAAGCGAGGTGTTTATTCCATTTAATCACTGTCCTTCACTGCATTAAAATACAGGAGAACCAGGAGCCACTAACTGTGTGATCTAAATCCCACTGGAGTCAATGGGAGTCTTTCTATTGACTTCCATGGACACTGGAGCAGTCCCATGGATTTATATATTTTAAGGCAGAAAAGACCATT